CCGCAGTCCAGCAACTACAATTCCATCGAGTCCACAGTACCCGAACCCTAATAGTTATGGATTCCCTGTGAGCAGTTTTCTTCTTTCCTCCGAGAACTGTGAGGACAAGAATGCGCTCCTACATTTTGGTGATGGAATATGTTCAGAATAGCCACGGAAGTAGTGGGAACATTACGATGTCACCACAATGCATGATGCCCATGACACCTCCGGCTCATAAAAGTCCAGCTTTCCATCAACAGTCGGTGAGTTTCAGCAACTTTTCACTCGAAAAAAGCAGCGAATACCCGCGTTTTCTAGCTAACTTGGGGAATATTATCGGGATTTCTGCCCATTTTTCATGTTTTTTCGGAGAATTAGGCGTCCTCAAGTTTTAATGTTCAATCCCCTTGCAGTGGCTGTTGTTTTGCTACTTTTCGGTCTGTTTAGTCCTGGTACACATTACTACCTCGGAAGTGCTCTTATGAATAAATTTCTGGGTCCGGAGGGTGCTCAGAACGAAACCAACGGTTTGTGGAAATCGTGTTCAACCACTGGAACAAACGATGCCCTTCTTCGGCCTATAGTAGAACGTTGGCCATTGATTACCATCGCTTAACCGCGTGATGTCGGTAATTTGGTTAGATGAGGATTTCCGTGTTTTTTCTTCGAAACATCGATCCCTTTTTTCCATTTTCCGCTAGTTATTGCAGCAGTCCGCTATCGCCTTGAAAAAATACCGTTGAGAGCTATCATCAGCAATGAATAAATCGGTTCCTTCGTGTCAATGCTGATAGCTGTAATAAGCCAATACCTAAATAACGTTGGGAGTTTTTTTGTGACTTGTTTCTTAGATGTTTGGATAAACAGGCGTATGGAAGCCTAGCTTAACGAACTGTGTTCTGTTCATGACCAGTATTCTTTGAGTTAAGGTAGTCCAGTCACCTCAGCAACATCAAGCCGTTGCATCTCCTCTTTCATCGGGACAACATCATCAAATGTAAGCTTAGATACCAAGCAATTCGGACTTTTATAAAATTGATACCTTTTTGAGGTTGAACCAAAGGGCCCAAGTACCGTCGGCATTGTCATGCCCACAGCCAGTCAATCATCACTCAAATATCAGTTTTGATCAGGTGAGTCGCTTTTTCGGTGTGAATCACACTGATTTGAGGACAAACACTTAACATGTATTACCTGACGCAAGAATTTGTTCGCTGGCATCATACCGCCCTTGGACTGTTTTGTCGTTAACTGAATTCTCGATTTTCTCTTGCTCCTTTTAGTTGTTCCAGGCTCACGTACGAATGTTTTATCGCAGTCTAAATGTTAAGGGCCATAATAGAGTCTAGAGAAGGTCTGATTCCATCGCTGCCATCAGAAAGTAGACTCAAAGGTGCACCTGGAGAGATCTTCGGCATGAGAAGCTTCTTTGGCCGTAAAAGGGTCATTCCCGGCAATGTTATAATCTAATACACCCACGCATAAAGGCCCTTAATTCGCAGTACGGTTTGAATGGGAAAAGAAGCCGTCGTAAGCTCGTGAGATAGGCTCAGTGGTGGAAGAAATGTTGAGGCAGTAACTTGGTAATCCATCCATTTTGACGAGAATTG